AAGAGTTCATATGGATATAATAGTTCAAAAATTCAATCAAAGGGAAGATATAGCGGTTGAAACAGGTCTAGATCCTTGGAGAATCGAGCAACAGATAACAAAGCCAATTAGGTGTAACTGGTTAGAAATGTCCAGGGGGAAATTCGAGACACCTTGAGAGTCTCGAGTCATACAAATTAGATCCGTAATGCTTGGTCACTCGAGGCGTAGATCTTTGATAATGGATGGGCTGTAGAACATGAAGTTGACATTCCAGAACGCCGGGCTTGAGAAAGGTTTAAAGATAGCTGGGCTTCCAAAGTTATAATGCACTCAACACATTCCAAGGAATGAATATCTACTATACCTATATAATTATAAGATCCTAGGCTTGAAGCTTACCGTAGTGTGCATTGAATATAATATAAACTGCTGGTTTCTCAGGACTCTCCAGCAATCGCGGGTCTCACACCATGCACATGTGTATAGACGCTCCTACGTTCCCCCCTGACACAGTTCGCCAGAGATCTTATCTCATCAGCTCAGGTTCCGTGGTCTAGTTGGTTATGGCATCTCGTTAACACCGAGAAGGTCCCCGGTTCGATCCCGGGCGGAACCACATTTTTGCGGATCCGACAGGATTCGCATCTCCTTTTCTCTCACCGCTCACAACTCCACAAACTTAAACCCAAATCTTACCTCTTCATGTATCTCCATTGGTCTCGTGGCCTAGTTGGTTATGGCATCTCGTTTACACCGAGAAGGTCCTCGGTTCGAGCCCGAGCGGGACCATTCTTTTGCTTGTTAGAGCATCTTTCCTTTTTATCACTCATTCAGACATTGGGGAGCAGTTATGCGTGAGTGATTATGTTACTTGTTTATCTAGCAAAGCCCAGTCTCCAAAGTCTTCTTATATATCTAAAGCCAATTCCTTATTGTTCCACTGTACCCTCAATGATTTCGGTTCACAAAGTAGTTGTAGTTGTCCTCGACCATTTTCAAAGCCCTCTTGCTGGCCTCATCCACATCTTCTTTAGGTAGACCCAAAGCCTCATTCGCAAGGCCATACTTGGCTTCAAAGTTTCCATCACCATTGGGATAGAACGTTCGAGCATACATAGCGAGTCCAAAGCCAGAACGATCCCCCTTCTTAAGAAGATCCATGCCTCGCTGCCAGCGCTCCTTGGAACCTTCATACTCAATCTCCCAGTCCTTGTCTGTAGTACCGGTGATACGTTGGAGACTGTCGAGCATCTCTCGCTGAGAGATGAGAAAGCTGGAGATGTAGAGGGGCTTGTTCCGCCACTGGGAGATAGTAGGTGACTTGTCGTTCTCATCGTCAGGAATGACCTTCAAGCTCAGAAGAGCTGCGAAAGCTCGACCACACTGATCCCAGGTTGAGCTGTTGATCTGGGTGTTACCATCATCGTACAGCGTAACCTTTTTCTTGTCGCCAGTCAAGTCGAAGCCATACCATGCGGGACCCTGAGCCAGAGAGAACTCGTACCAGAAGGAACAGCACATAGCAATCCATGAAGATACACCATTCTCCTCGACAGCATTGATTCCTGGAAATACACCCCCACCAGTCAAGTTCTCCTCGGCGAGTGACTTGTTGGTGATGTCGATGCCGTAACAGTTGGGCATGATCCATGGAACACCTGCTTTGGCGGCTGCAGCAATGATCTTCTCTTGGGTACCGGGGGCTGCGGATACTGAGAGAGAGATTGAGAGGAACTGCTGGCCTCGAAGTGCCTCAACGAGAGAGTTCTCATCATCATAGTCGACAGTGACAGTGCGAGCGCCTTCGGGGAATTTGCTGGTGCTGCCTTTACGGGTGACGGCAGTGACTGTATGCTTGCCTGTCGCGATGAGATACTTGGCCAAGTACTTGCCAACACTTCCACCAGCCTGTAAATGTTAGCCATCAACTAAGGTAGACAGGAGGGGGGCCAAGAAAACTTAGGGTCTTTATCCTAAGTGATGAAAAGACTTAGACAACTTAGCCTAAGTTTAGGGGAGTCTTTTCTAAGTTTTTCACATCCTCTTCTAAAGTCTTATATCTTCTTGCTCCCTGAGGGATGGTAGACGAATGTGTTACTTACACCAATAATGGCAACTCGCTCAATTTTGTTGACGAAGCCCTCAGGCTGGTCCTTGGCGTACTGTTGAGACATTGTGGTATCTGGGATTCGGAAGCTTTGTTTATGTAAAGACTAAAGTGGTAGAAATTGTTGGTGAAGTTGATGAATGTAATGGTGATGATTAGATGCTTATCTAAAGGGAAGACATTTCGACATCTTTATACTTGATTCTTCGCTACTAGCTTTGAGTTCCATTGTAGCATTTGATTCCCCGGACATTTCGTTAACTCCTGCCATCCGCATCGTGGGCCGTTGTCGATGATGCTATCGCGGACTTTGCATTTGGCGTCGGTCGAGACTTTTGCCATATCCGGTAAGTGCTTTTACCATAACGGGTAAGTGGGTCTCCGGCTCGGGGCGGACGGCCCCCACCAACAGGACACGAACCAATCAGAGGCTGTCAAATACGAGAATAAGTTAAGAGACCTCATGATCCCCGTTGCAAGACAATTTAGGGTTGTATCGCCGATAGTGAAACAAAAAGCGCGAGTCCGAGTTTATCTCCTTACTCTCGTAGTTCGGACTTCTCTTGGGCCGGAGTCGTATGATGATTCATGATGTCGCAACTAAAAAAAAGTGCGATCTGCCGTCTACGGCAGTTGGTTATCACGGGGTGAGCCTTTTTGAGCTGATCTTAGTAGTTCATGGGATCTTGTCGTTGCAGTTAATTAAATATCGATTGAAAGCCTATCATTTACAATTATCAATCTAGTTGAATCTGTCTTCTCGTCACATCAGGGGCATATATTCTGAAATACAATAATAAGGCATAGAAGTCGTGCGGAGCACCGAGGACTATTGATCCGATCCGACCGAACATATATGTTGCTATGTAAAACTACAACTGAGTTCTTCACCACAATTACAATCATAAATAACTACGCAATAATGAATGAACCTTCGACTTTCTAACCAGAATAACTAGAAAGGGTTTGAGCAAGAACTAGGTACGTATCTTCGGAAAGGTCCGACGCAAATATGTATCTCTATAGGGTCCAACCGTCCAATGCTCTTAGGACTATCACAAGAGCTCAGCCATGAATATGACATGATATGGTCTCATATATACTCTACGATTTTGTGGTTCCTCAACGCCTTCGCTTCCAGCGCCTTGATATTCGACCCTCTTCATGCGATGAATTTCTCTTTGAATTTTCATTTGAAGTCTCTAACTCTGTCTAGCAGGATCCAGCTCAACCTTGTTCTTCGTAATTGCATCAATTTCCTCCATAATCTCTGGCGTCAGCTTATCAAGAATCTTCAGCGAGGCAACAGTATCATCCAACTGCTCAGGCCGGCTGGCACCGGTGATAACACTGGTAACATTGGGGTTCTTAAGACACCAGGCAATGCCAAGCTGAGCCTGGCTGATGCCCAGCTTATCTGCAATGGGCTTTAACTGCCGAACCTTGTCGATCTCCTCCTTCCAGTCATCAGTGCCAATGCGTCCGCGCATGAAGTCGGCGAAGTTGTCCTTGCTGGCTTCAAAACGGGAGTCTTTGGGTGGCTTGCCGTCAACTATGTCGTTGTACTTTCCACTGAGAACGCCCATTTTCAGAGGGGAGAATGAAGTGATGCCTAGACCAGTGCGCTCATATAGGCGTTGGAATTGGCCTTCAACTCTGTCTCTGACGAGGAGGTTGTAAAAGGGTTGCTCGGCGATAGGTCCAATCATTCTAAGATCACGAGCAATTCCGACCTGTTGATGTGAGGATCCAAGCACATTGTATGTAGGTGATGGTGACTTACAGCTTCGGCAATCTCATCAGCGGACCACTCTGATGTACCCCAGTAGAAAGCCTAGTGACCTCGTCAGCGCTGCTACAATCAAGCTTGGCGAATGATATGCAAACCTTTCCGTTATCAATCAAGTAGTTGAATGCTCTGACAGTCTCCTCCATAGGAGTCAGTCTATCCGGCCGGTGAGCGTAGACAATGTCGACATAGTTGAGCTGAAGTCGCTCCAATGAGGCGTCTAGACCCTCGATAATGTGCTTTCTCGAAAGCCCATGATTGTTGACGAGAATCTCTCCATTAACGGCACCCCAGTTAATCTCTGAGAAATATTAGCATAAGGCTTCGAATACCTGGCGCATTTAAGGGCTCACTTGTGCTAATGACCAAATCGCTGCGCTTCCACCCAAAGTGCTTAATAGCCTTTCCCATGACAATCTCAGCTTGGCCAGCAGTATAGTTCTCGGCTGTGTCGAAGAAATTGATTCCAAGGTCGTAAGCCTTCTTCATGCAAGCAAATGCCTCCTCATCTTGGGCGTAGCCTCCATAGGTCATCCAGCTACCAAGACCAATCGCAGAGACATGTAAACCGGATCTACCGAGACGACGGTAGATCATGCCAGTGTTTCTAGGTTCAGCCCAAGCCATTTTAGCGATTTATGGTGATGGGAATTTGCGCGAAGTGAATGTTTGTACCTATACACCTTTGTCAGTGGAATTGGGGTTTATGTAGCCGGAGAATATTTCGGAGATTGATTCGGAGCGGGGATGACTTACAGGATTGTTGATTGTTCTAGGAAGCAGTGCCGCCAACAAATTGGGAGGGTCTTGTTTGTTGAGTTAAATTGAGCAGAGTCAGTAGATTTGAGGTACTGGCAAGTTGACTCATACGGTGAATCGACAAAGAGCTTCATCAAGTCGGATATTCCGACTGCCTTGCTGTCGCACCTGGGTTTCTGCCTTTCCCATCTGCAAGTGTCGGGCAGCGGGGAACTGCAGTAGCTTAACAAGGGTACAATGGCGCAATACGGGGTCCTCGTTACGCCATGCTAAGCCAGCGATGGAAGAATTTTCCAACTTTAGGGTGAAATTTAGGCCTAATTTTGCCTGAAGACACTAATCTCATCGATCCTTTGCCTGAACTTAGGTTGGTGTCTCAATTATCTGCTGGATTTCGTCCTGCTCAGCAACATCGCGGGGCATCGACTCCAGTAGCATACGAGTAAGCGGCGATGGCGATCGAACCAGGTAACCGAGGTCCAAGGGTGGCCAGCAAATTTGAGAAGCTTGGCCTTCCATGAATTGATACGTTGGCATCGTGAGGTTTGGTTGTGCTGTCAAAAGCTCGGCCGTATCCTGAAAGGTCGATGGTAGATTTGCTTCAAAAGTCACCGAATCACCCTCTGGTTCCAGCATGCGGCCTGAATTGAAGATTGCGTCCATTCGTATTGTGAGGAGTGAAAGAAGAGTACGATTGCCTCCCCGGCAGGACGAAAGTATGTCGCGTAGTTGATGGAGTATTGGACCCGATTGATCGATTTGTATTGAGTGATCACTTGCGATCGCGTCAATTACTGCCGTAGCAATCTCAAATGTTTTGAATTCCTGTCCCGATTGTGAGCTCACCTTGTATTATGCTCGATTCATAATGAGACTCACCAGCGTTGGTCCATGAGACTCAAGAGCAGCTTTTGGAAGCTCGGAAACGAGGCTCAAAAAGTCTTTGGCGATATGAATGGGGTTCATCGAAGGTATGACAATTCCAAATCGAAGAGCCGCGCGCCATAGCACAGCACGCATCCACTGTCTTGTAACAAACATGTCTGCTCGCTGGACTTCGTTTATCGGCCCCCAATCGTCATTATCGGCCGAGTCGAGAAGCTTTTGCTGCAGGAGCTCCAAGCAATTCTGAGCCACAGAGGCCATGTTGGATATCTCCGAGTCCGCGTCGATGTTGCGAAGTATCTCAAAGATGTTGGACTGATCAAAGACCCAGAACAGATGGACCAACTTTAGAAATGCTGGTAAAACCTCAGCACGGTCATCAGCTCCTCCGAACCACGGGAACAAGATGTTGGGCTTGAGGACTATGGGAAGCTTGTGCAAGAGAGCAACACCTCTGAGCGATACCTATTAGCAAAAGATCTTTTCTTGATGAAGGTTCATACCTCTCAGTGACAAACAGTAGCCAGAGAATCCGTCGCGAAACATGTTGATCGGCTTCTGAAAGCGAAGGATATGTAGACTCACGATCAAGCCTTAATATTTGTGCCTGCGTGATAGCTTCACGCAGGTACACAAGCGACTTTGTCCCTCCAGGCAAGGCGTTCTCATGGTAAATATGTAGGAAGAAGGAAATCCTCAAAGCATCCAACAGACCCAGCTTCTCACTCAACCCACTTGTTTCCGCTTCCTCTACGCTGGGCCGCCATGCAGTATCCAGTTTCAGTTGAGCGATAGCAGCGAGAGCCACAGCATTAGCAAGGCACCTCGCTGCACCGCCTTCATTGGGATTCTGCCGAATCTTGTTCCTTAGATCAGTTGCATCGACGATGGGCCAGATGGGGTACAGTCTGTCAGAGTAAATCTCTAGAACGTCAAGTAAACAGGCTATTTCATCAACAGGCGACGGTGACTTCTTGGCAATAGCTTGATCCGGGCTTGAGGTATCGCTTTTCTCTACATCGCCATGGCGTCTTCGCTCAATCTTATCCAACGTTCGTGGTCTCAATCCTCGCGGCCCTCTCGTTCCTTGTGAACGATTGAAGGTACATTCTATGCCTGATGCCTCACACGCTGTGCAAGGGGGTGTTTCTGAGCAGCGGATCTTTCTAATCTTGCATGAATCGCAGGCACGTCTCGCGAGCTTCTGACGAGAACTCGGAGTGTTTTTCGGAGGTCGTGCAGGTGGGGTCATGGCTCAGAGGTCGAATTGCTAGATGGGAGTCAGAAGGATCACCATTGACCAGTGACAAGAACGAAAGTGCGGCAAATGAGAAGACTCGGCAGAAATGAATTGTTTCTGTGCTACTTGTGGTGCAAATGACGTGCTGGTCCGTTGCGATCTCGCCTTCCAGGACCCCTGTCTACCCCGGATTTTGGTTCCCTTCTAAGCCTCGGTAGCTCCCCCGCCATTCTCCAACGAGATTGCCCTAGGATCTCTGTCGCCCTTTCCTCCTTTAGAGCTTAGACGGTCGTCTCTGTCTGTTGCAGTAGGCGTCAGTCCGGGCTTGTAGTTCCTGCCCTATATCATGAATTAGCTTGAATTAATACTTATGAATTGTCACTAACAAGAAAGCTCGACGCTGGGATCCTCCTCGATGGGAGCAGGAGGGTTGGGTGTTGGTTGGGGCGAGGGAGCGGCGACTTCGGGCCAGACGCAAGGGATAATCTCATCCCATTGCTTCCAAGAAGCATCCTCTTCTGACAAAGAAACAATTGGAGTTGCCATAGTCTCACACGTAAACTTAGTATAGAAAAATGGCAATGTCATCCGTCGAATTTCTGGGAACTCGTATGAAGGCTGGAATATGGAGGTTGAAAAGAAAGAAGGAAAGAAGTACGCACTGTAAGGTTTATTTCGGTTTTGTGTGCTCCTTCTGCCTAGGACACTGAATCATGCTGTCATAATTTCTCTTGTCGCGAGGAAGGAGGGAGCTGCTGGGCAGGTTACGAGTGGAGAACTCGAGAGGAGCGTTGAGGAGAGACTGAAGACGGCCCTGGCTGATCTCATCTTGGTAGGGGTGGTAGCTGGTATACCGGATACTCACTACCTATTTATTGCTGGTTTTGAAACAAGTGTCAAAGTGGAAGGGAGTTCATCAATGGGGAGAAGTCATCAGAGCTTTGGCTTGTACGGCAAGTGTAAGCCAAGTGTAAGGCAACAGCGAAGAGAGATGGGAAAGACATATCACTAAAAATGGTATGGAAGTAAAAAATTCCTCCTTAAGCGGAAGGAAATATCTGCCTACCTTACCTACCTGAGTTGGGCAGGTAACCAACCCTCCCCCCCATCCCTGCCTTCATCGACAAACTCAACTTCGTACTCTCATACTTTCTCACAATACAACGGTCTCTAAATATCATCATCCTCATCGGCAGCTTTCTCTGCCAGCATATACCGACTCTTTCCAGTCTTCTCATCAAACTCATGCTCGATGGCAAGCTTTTGCAGGTGGCCGAGAATGTTCTCAAGCTTCGTGTCCTTCTTTTTGCGATCTTTCCTACCCAGATTATCCAACCAAGACAGCTTGTTGAGAACGAAATAAACGATAGCGATGACAACGGTCACACCGAAAGAGTAAAGCCAGACGATCACAACAGTCACGATGTCGACCCAGCCATTGCTGCTTTGCTTGAAGTTCGACTCAGGGTGGGAGATCTCACCCGTACCTGACATCCAGCCAAAGAGACAAAAAAGAGTGGCGAGGATATCTACACCGAGGATGGCGAACACCAGTTGCCACGATGGCCACGTCTTGCCGCCCCGCGTGACGAAGATGAGCCAATTCTCTGTGAGGGCGACTTCAAGAAAGAGAATCTCTTGAACAGAGCCGAAATTCTGAACAATGCCTCCGTTGGGTAGAAAGAGTGTGCCTCGAAGAACCCATGTTGCCAAAGCCAGAAGAATTCCAAGGATCACACTCATAACCCACTATCATAGCGTTAGCCTTCGCTAGCAACATATCAGACATCACGAACTTACAATCTTGGGTAGCTGCCATTCTACCGGCCTCGGTTCCCAATGAGCATTATCATAAGCAACTGCAACTGTCGCCACTGTCACAGCGTTAGCCTCGCCCACAAAACTTCAAACTTCAAGAACTAACGGTCCGCAAAAAGAGCCAAAAATACTATGAGGTCGACTCGGATAGTTTCGTTGATGATGATCATGGACAGCGTGAGATAGATTTCCAGATGGAGACAGAGCGCAATACGATATTGTATGTACGCTTTCATTCTCTGAAAGATTTGCCGAGCGGTTTTAATAGCCAAAACGATGGTGCTTAGACCTGGGGCGAGAAAGACGATATCCGCTGCGGCTTGGGCGGCTTCGGAGGCACCCTCGACTGCGATGCCACAATCAGCCTTCTTTAAGGAGGGAGCATCATTGACACCATCACCAGTCATTGCCGTGAGATGGCCTCTTTGTTGCAGCATTTCGACAACCGTGTACTTATGCTCGGGAAACACCTCTGCAAAACCATCTGCACGCTCCACGAAATCGTGCTGCACACTTCCGGATAAACCGCCGTGGATGAGTCGTTCTGAGTTGTACACTTTTGTTCCAAGGGACAACATTTTGCAGGTTTCCTTTGCAATGGCTATGGCATCTCCAGTCAACATCTTGACGGGGACTCCAAGATGGCCTGCCTCAATGATTGTCTGGGCTGTATCCTCTCGAGGAGGATCGAACATAGATAGCAAACCCAAAATGACCCAGGGACCATCGTTCTTCTTGTAAGCGACACCAAGCGAACGGAATCCTCTTCGAGCAAAATCTTGAGCTTTCTCTTTGTATATTCGACTTTCGTCCTCTGAGCCTGAAGCCAGTTTCAGTACCGCTTTTGGGGCTCCCTTGACGCACCAAAACTTGTCATTCCCAAGACGACAAACCGCAGTAATTCGCTTGGATACAGGATCGAAAGGTGTGAACGACTCAGTCACCCACCCTTGCTTGAGAATCTCTCTGGCTTCGGGGTAGCGTTTGAGGGTAAGGATAGTGACTTTGTCGATAGGATCCAGGGTTCTGAGGTTATGGCTCGAAGCAAGAGCTGCGACCGCCATCATCCAATTGACGTCCTGGCCTTCTGCCAGCCAAGGATCGCGAATCGATAGTTTATTGGCAGTCAGCGTGCCAGTCTTGTCAGAACAGAGAATGTCGACGCCAGCAAGAGATTCAATTGCAGTGAGCTTTTGAACAATGGCCTTTTGTTTCGCAAGATAGGCTGCTCCAACGGCGAGAGTGGTGGTTGTCACCACTGGAAGACCAACAGGGACACCTGGTTCGGAACTATTAGCCAAGTTCACTCCATAACAACTGAGTTGGGGTTCTTTCGAGACCTACCAATAATGAGAAGAACAAGGGCATAATGGAGAAGATTCTGCGATCCAGGCTCCGTCATTCCAATGTGGTGGAAGAATCCTCCGATCCAGGCTATCAGGATCCAGAACATGACGAGAACGAGAAGCGAGGTTCCAATGTTGTTCATGATGGCCTTGAAATGGCCTTGATCCTTAGCTCCCTGTACAAGGTCTGCAGTGCGGCCGACAAAGGACTCTTTAGCAGTGGTCTGAACAAGAGCGAAGGCTTTTCCTCTCTTGCAGCCAGTGGTATAGTAGACCACATCACCGAGGTATTTCTCAACAGCTAGAGACTCGCCGGTGATAGCCGATTGATCAATCGCTGCGAGAGGACGGCTGCGATAGTCGAGCGGCTCCTGCTCATGACTATGTTGGTGGGCATCATGTTCTGTCGATGTGTCATGATCATGTTCTTTGTCTGCACCATCAGCAAATTCATCTTCCTCGTCGCTGCGGTCGAGTTTATCTTCAGCTCGGAGACGTTTGTAAAGTTCAAAATCTTCGGGGCGTGTATAGTCGCAGATAAGGCGAGCATCTGCAGCAACGGTACCGCCTTCTTGAACAATGAGCTAGGCATCAGTCAGTCGGTGGTTGCAAGAAGGAACGGCTTAAGTCTGACGGCTTCAGGAAGGAACCACTAAATTTTGACAGCCTCGGGAAGGAACCACTTACGATGTCTCCTGGAACAAGTTCTCGTGCCAGAATTTCTTGTTCGTTGCTATCACGTATGACTGTGCAACGCATCGCGATATCACCCTTGAGACTAGCGACGACGTCTGCGGCTTGCTTCTCCTGGTAGAAGCCGACGAAGGCGTTGAGCATAAGAATACCGACAATGACTCCGAAATCCACCCAATCCCCGAGACCGACTGCGAGAAGGGCCGCAACCTCCATGACTGCAATGCGATGATCAACAAGTGAACCTTACACGGACGGCAGAATGAATTACCATAAAGAATGGGGCCTCGGAAAAAGGAAATGAACTTAACGAGCATGTTCTCCTTCTCCGAAACCAACTCGTTCCATCCTGTTACTTGTCGTCGTCTTTCAACTTCATCCGACGCAAGACCAGCTGTGAGATCCGTCTCAAGCCAGGCATCAGGAGTGCCCTTCTTAGCAGGAGGCTCCTCCTGAGCATCGACACCACTGCCGAACTGCCACCAATGCTTCTTCTTGACCTTTCCATCACGGTCATCAACTGCGCGACGACGATCTTCGCGATAGTTGCTGATGTAGTGATCAAGGGCAGGAAACTCGCCGAGACTGTCATCTACAATGCTGGCGGCTCTCCCGCCCCTAGAAGTGCGGGAGGCTCGCCGGCCAGCATTGGATTCCAGGTCATCGTTGTTGTTCTTGCGACGACGGAAAAGTTTAGACATTGATGATAACGTTCAAGCAGATTATGATGATAGAGGATAATTAGGGTCACGAGATCTATGTACGCACTTGTCTTGAGAACAGGATGCAAACACACACTCCATCACATCTTTCCAGGCGCAATGAGCCGTTATTTATTGCTTTTCGCATTCTCTGTGAGCGCATAGCTTACTGCCTTTTACGGACAGCTCTCATCTCTTCAGCGTTGCAACCCGCTCACTGCAACCTCGCGTTCGCGAATATGAATATTGACCGACTTCCTGTGACTCTGGAGCGTTATTTTCCAGAAGCTCCCGTGTGATCCGGAAGGCAGATCTGCATCGCTAGAGCCTAGAAGCAATCACCAGAGGGTTGCATGCCAGGATGATTCTGTCACCAATAACACAATTTCCGTCAAGATGTACAATCAACAATGAGGGATTAAGAATTGAGTTTCTGGGTATTTCATTAAAGCCG